CGAGAGTGCTTTTCTTTAGCATGAAAAGACACAAATACCCTTTAAATTAATAAATTCAAAAAATTACAGATTCACCCCAAAAAACAAAACACTCTTTCCATTTAGTCCTTAATATTTTCAAAAGGCCCTCTTTTCCAAATCAACCAAAAAAAGAAGATTATTTCTTATTATTGTATGGTGGTGGAGACATCCATTAAAAACTATTTCAAAAAAACAATAAAAGATTAAAGAAGATATATGTAAAATAGGCCAAATGAAATGGCCCAAAAAATGACTTTTTAATTTAAAAAAGGAAAATGAAACGTTGAAGAAAAATAATATTAATTAGTTTTACGTTTGTGGTATTTGTGTGGAAAGCACACTCCATCACATATAGAACTATTATCTCATTTCCCACTTCTTTGTGTCTCTATCCTCTTTTAATTTTTCTTTAATTAATTAATTAGTAGTGCTTTCCTCCTCAACAATCCAATTTAGGTTATTCAAAAATATGTCCTACCTATCATATATATATAACATAATGTGTATATATACATTTATTATTTTTTAGCAATAATAAAATTATGATTTGTGAGCAATAAACGAGATTGCCGTGATTGATAACTTTTTAAATATCATTTTCCCTTCTTTTGCTTTTTATCTTCTCTTAAAGAGGTATAGTAGGGTTAAAGGTGACAATTGACATATTTTGATTTTTGCTTTTTTTTTTTTTTTTGGTAAAGCAAGATTGTGATTTTGCTTAATGGTATTAAATCATTCAATTACATGCACGAATTTGATTGGTGGGAAATCTCATTTAAAAAAACATTTTAATTTAAAATCAAAACTCTTTCACAAAGTAATTCATAATACCAACTAGATTCAATGTTGTGAATTATTTTTGTTGTATAACAATTTGCGTTGAGTGACAATGTTTGTTGATGAAAATAAGGCATCGTGGTCCAATCAAATTCCAAAATAAATAATTGGTATTATAGTGATTAATTAGTTATGGAAAAAATAATAAAATTTGTCACCTTTACAAAAATAACCAAACAAACAAATCCAAAAAGACACGTAGGCATTCTCAATATCTAATCAACTCTATAATACGTGCTTTCCTCATGAAGCAGTCCAGTCTGGTGTAGTGTAACTGCCTTAAAGTGAATCATAAAGCCAAATAAAAAATATGATAAAGTATTTCTTTTTTTTATTCTTTGTGCAAATATTTTATGATTTTCGAATTTCTATCCATGACAAAAAACTTATACACTTGTTTGGATGTCAAAATAAAACTAGTCAGGATAAAACTCGATTGTAATATTGGACACCGGGAAGTCCGACAAAAAAGCTTCTTAAAATGCATGATAACATAATTTTTCCGGATCGACGCGAAAGTTATTGAATTTACCAAACATCAAACAGAGTTCAATTATTTAGTTAATTATGATTAATCTTTCCAATCAAACGAGACTTAAGTAGATTGAATACAGAAACACCGAAACACTTGGACACATGATATACATTGCATGCACTTTAATTTCTTGTAAGAATAAAATGCACGTGAATCTTAATTGTGTGTTGCCAATAAAAGTGTTTTTAATTGGGGAAAAAAGAACATGAAATTGCTTTCTTTTGCTAATATTTTGTTTTCTTCTGTCTTTAAATTGTTTTATATATGTGTGTGTGTGTCAGTGTGTGTCAGTGTGTTTGTGCACCGTATATTGATTATTTTCCTCAAAAAGACTGATTAATTGCATTAAATAAGATACAATTAACAACATAATTAGTCGCAAAACTTCAACTACCTTTCAAAAGTAGCTTAAAATAACTACTAGTCTTCAACAATACATGCGTCTCGAAAGATATACATAATCTCCAAGATTATGTTAATTAAGGCTCTTCTAAATAAGACACTATATAGTAAACATATTTATTGTATGGTTATATTAATTCCCACAAATTAATACAGTAGAACATCGATAAATTAATACACTATAATTAAATAAAAAAATTCATATTTCAACTCGGTGACAACATGATAAATTACATAATTTAATATTCAATTAAATTAATAAAATTTCGCTAGTTACGTTTCAACTGTTCTAATATAATTATTAGAAACTAACAAATAATTTATCAAAAAAATAAAAATATCGTAGTTGGTGTACTATAAAAGTACTCGTTGTCATAAATAATAGGACAAATTACGGTCACACCCTAAGAAAATGTCAAATTACGAAAAACCCTTCATGTTTGGGTGATACAACCACCCATCGGGGATATATTGTCTTACACGTCCACCCTTATAGTGTAAGAATTTACCAACTAGGGGCTTTTTGTAAGAAAATACATAAATGAAGGGATGATTGTAATTACCAAACAAGATGGGGATTTCGTAATTCGACATTATCTCAGGGGTCGGTCGTAATTTGCACTAAATAATAGAAAGAAAGGAAATTTAGTTGGAGATGCAACGGCCAAAGAATGGAGTTGAAAAGGACCAATGGTGCAAAAGGCACACTGTCCACCATAATATATTAATATAATATATCACTTTTTTCAGTTCTATAAATTCCATAGTTGAAGGCGTGTGGCAACCATACTCACTCTCATCTGCATAATTAATTACTACACTAAAATCGCACTTTCTCTCTCTAGATTTCTTTTTTTTTTTTGATAATTTCTTTCTCTCTCTAGATTAATTAATTAAATTAAATTATGGCTTCCAACCAGACGCAAAGTCGCGATTCTCAAAACGCAGCCCAATTACACGACCTCGAAATGATGCAAGACCCGGAGTTCGACTACTCAACGCGCTCCCAGTGGCTACGCGCCGCCGTCCTCGGCGCCAACGACGGCCTCGTCTCGACGGCGGCGCTCATGGTGGGTGTCGGCGCGGTGAAGCACGGAATGAAAGCCATGATCCTGACGGGCTTCGCCGGACTCGTCGCCGGAGCGTGTTCCATGGCTATCGGCGAGTACGTTTCCGTCCACTCGCAGCTCGATATTGAGTACGCACAGATGAAGAGGGATAGTGAGAAAAGGGCGGGCGGCGGGGCCGACGCGGTGGAAGACGGCGGTGGAGATAAAGAGAGTTTGCCCAACCCCGTGCAGGCGGCGGCAGCGTCGGCGCTGGCTTTCTCTGTGGGTGCGATGGTGCCGTTGCTTGCGGCTTCGTTTATCAAAGAGTACAGGGTGAGGATTGGGGTGGTGGTGGCGGCGGTGACTGTGGCGCTGGTGGTGTTTGGGTGGTTGGGGGCGGTTTTGGGGCGGGCTCCGGTGGTGCGGTCCTCTGCTAGGGTTTTGGTTGGCGGGTGGCTGGCGATGGCCGTCACTTTTGGACTGACCAAATTAATTGGAACCAAGGGACTGACTCTAAATTAATTAGTTTATATGTATATATATATATATGTTATGTTTGTGTAACTATAGGTTATATATTTATATGTGTGTGTGCATGCATATATAATATGCTAAACTTGTATTTTTCTACGGTGGTGATTTTATGTAAATAGTATGGAATAATTTGGATTTGAGGGGAAGGGTCTCAAATGATTTTAAACCTAAGTAGTATGTATACAAGCCATGCATATACATTTAAACATTTATAAATTAAAAAGTCGGACTAATTAGGTTTAATGGATTATTAACTTATCTATTAATTTAATGGATTATTAACTTATCGAGTTAATAATTTAATATGTTTTCATCGAATTGGGATCGAGAGAAACTATTATTTAGGCGAGTTTATTAATTATCGAATATTAATTAATTTATCGATGTTCTACTGTATAGTATAACTACTTCATCGGAACAACAAACCAATTAAGAAACCTACTAATCTTGATTAATGAAATGTAATAGAGATTAGAGACCATACCATTAAAAGAAAACATAAATACTATAACAGAATTTTCAAATTGAATAGGAAAATAAAGTAATAGTAGTCATGCAGTGTGTGTCATCATCATCATCCTTTTGTGGATACCATTCCAATAGTTCTTGTGAAAGTTGAGGATCATTTGGTGGGTGAATATGCCAAATTGCAAAATCAAATCTTTTATTCCCGTAAGATTTTTCGCTCGAAAATCACCCTTGAAAGTATGAAACTTTCGTGTTTTCAACGAGTAGAAGACAAGATCATCACCATGGAATCGAGGGAAGTAGATTTTGTTAATTGCCATGTTTCTGCATTCCCAGTATACCCAAAACACGACGTGTTGCTCACAAAAAGCACTCCCGGCTTCTTCTACGTGTTGATCATGTATGGTGTTTTCTCTTATATATATATATATATATATATATATATATATATATATATATATATATATATATATATATATATATATATATATATATATAAATATATATATATATATATATATATTTATATATATATAAAATATTATAATTATAATAATATTTATATTTATAATAAAAATATAAAATAAAAAGTAAAAATCCTATGTATAAAGACCGACACCCTAGGAAATCTTTTTCTGATGTCCATGACAATCTCAGAATTAGAGTTGCACTCTATATCTATTTCCTTGTTTTCTGTTAATTATGTCCGTTTTTTGTTTAGGATTGTATTTCCATGATATATATATATATATATATATATATATATATATATATATATAGACACTCGAGTATTAGACCATTGTCCATTGCAACAAGGAATCGGTGAACAACGTGGGCATGTAAGAGCCTTTTTTTTTTTTTCCTGCTTTTTGTTTCTTGTACTTTTTCCATTAAAAAACTTATGGAATTGTCTTGTTGATTCAGAAAATTCATTACTATATGGAAACTAAGGAGGGAAACAACGAGAGTGAATCTCCGGTGCTTTTGATATCTCAGGGCCTTAAGTTTATGAAACATATAATCTACAATTTATTTGAGAATGAATTTCGCTACTTAAGTACTCCGACAACGAGGAAAATATTGAGCGACAAGAAGGTTCTAGGTTCCAGCTCCAGTTATGGATGGTTGAGCTTAGTGCAACCGCTTGGTGATGGTTGCGACTGTTGTCTTTTCAATCCAATATCCAAGGATAAAATCGACCTCCCGAAACTAGACAACGGGGACAGTTACAACAAATTTATCATGACCAAACGCCCCACTGAACCTGATTGTTACATCATCTTCAGCAGCGAGCGCCATGAATTGTCTTTCTGTCGGATTGGAGATGAAGAATATGTGAAAGTGCCTTTAGACGGACATGATATTGGTTTCGATGAAGAAGGAGGCTTCAGGGCTGATTTAATGGCGATTGTATGTTTCCGAGGTAAGATTTACGGCTTTATAGAACCTAACAAATTCGTCACGATTAATTTTGTGGACAAGAGTCTCGAGTATGAAAGGCCGGTAACTTTGATGAATGAAGACGGCACTTGGCCTTGGATTATTCCACGTGTTTCGAATAGCCGAGTTAATGGCATATGGTTGATCGAATCTTTCAGTACTGATGAGCTCTTGCTTGTTCTGAAAACATACCCGTGCCTAACTGTCAAAGACAGTTCGGAATTTAGGGTTTTCAGTGTAGATACGAATGGAATGACGTGCATGGAGGTAGAGAATATAGGCAATCGGACAATTTTTGTGACACGCGATGATGGTGGATATTGCTGCCCTACTCCTATAGGAATTAAACCCAACTCCATTTACTATACAAATATCAGAGACCGGAATTACAATGTTTTTGATTTGGAAGATAGGAGCAAAACTTCGATGCCGATACCCGGTGGAGTTGCAGTGTGGTCGAAAGCCGTTTGGGTCCAACACCAAATGTTCAAGAATTTTATGCACAAAATATAAATATATGATTTTTTTTATTTTTTTATTTTTTTTACTTAATGATAGAAATCTATGACACTTGGTTATTCTTGTCACATTATTACTCATTTTTACTTGCTGTTTTAATTTATTTTCCAGTCATTATTCCTTCAAATTACGAAAATCGCCATTGTGTTAATGGAAACGCACACCAAATCCCTCGTGTGTTCATTTTATTGCGTAAAAACTTATAGTACGAGACAATTTTTTTTCCTTCATAAGATGCATGCATTTTTATTTAATTATACTTGGAGCCCGTCCTTTCATCAATAACTTTTCGACTTGAAAATATATGCTAAAGAGTATTAGCAAAATCAAGAAACTGAAAAAGTTTCGGAAAAGAAGAATTTACAAGTTGATTATTTTTGCTCTTCAGCCGCATACAATGCTTTGATCTCCTCCACGTCATCATAACTACCAAGGAATATCGGGGAACGGTCGTGTATCTTTTCAGGAACCAAATCAAGTGCCTGTATGAAGAATAAATTGAACCAAACATATCAGATTCAATTTTTTTTTCTCTTATTATTATTATTATTATTATTATTATTATTATTATTATTATTATTATTATTATTATTATTATTATTATTATTATTATTATTATTATATTTTTTATTTTTGGAATATTTTTAAGATATCGTACCCGTTGCTTCCCAGTAAATGCTTGCCCACCTGCTTGTTCCATCAAAAACGACATTGGGAAGACTTCGTAGAGGACCCTGTTAAAAATTACAATTTAGATTTAATTGAGCTTTCATTATGTAAAAAAAAAAGGAATTACCTCAGTTTTCCGTTTGGGCTTTTCTTATCAGCAGGGTACAAAAAGACACCTCCATAGAGCAACGTGCGATGAACATCAGCAACCATGCTATAATAAAAAAGGGCACAAATACGATTATTTTCGAAATTAAAGAAGAGTACAAGTTATTATTATGTCACATTGTTTGAATACGATTTTGTTTTTCTATATCTGGTTTTCATGAATTAGGCATTTTCGTAATCATTTTACTATATTACAAATATGTAACAGCACTAAACCTCATAACCAATTTTCTGATAAATCAAAGCAAATAATCGAGTTTATATCATTACCTTCCAATGTATCTCAGAGACTTGGATGCTGACCCATCTGTAGGAAACTTGCATTTTTCCACATACCTGGTATTCATACAAATAATAAGATACACAATAAACGCAAAAATCGAACATTTAACCACTGTATTATTGAAGGATAAATACTTTGCTGTCGGTCCATCCCAATTCTTGGCGTTTCCTTCATTAACCGAATAAATCTTTCCTTTCTTCGGAATCTATAAACAAATTTTAAAAATAAATAAAAGGTAAGTTATGAGAAGCAAATAAGACGTAGCACACGAAACAGAGACATAAGTGTAATAAAACTATATTTTTACGTAAAATTGAAATCAGAGTCTCACCTTAATATCTGGATGAGTCAGTATGAATTCTCCAAGAGATGGATCGAGTGTGAACCCGTTAACTCCACCTCCAGTACTCAACACAAACTGCAAAGTTCAAATATTTACGACTACTTAGAATTATTTAATATTGATACTTTCTACCAAGAAAATTGTAAGAATTTGACGAGCAATTTTGGAATAGGTAACAATATATTTATACCGTGCAAGAGCTTCCATACATGCAATAGCCAGCAGCTAACATATTCTTCCCAGGCTGCAAAACGTCCTCCAGCTTCGGTTCATCTCCATCTTTGATCAAATAAATCCCGAAAATCTAAAAAAAAAACGAGCATCAAATTTATCATATATGATTGAAGATGTAATTTTAGCGGATATATATAAAATATCTATGCGAGCTTGGAAAAAAAAAACCATACAGTTCCAATAGAAACACCACAGTCGATATTGGACGATCCATCCAATGGGTCGAATACAACACAATACCTGCAATTCAGTTTGAGAGATGAAAGATTCAATAAATCGTATTAAAATAAATAAATAAATGAATTCAGTTTGTGAACACGAACACTTACTTTCCACGCTTAGAGGGTTCCACGAAAGTCGCCTCTTCATCCTCTTCAGATACAAGAATGCACTGCCAAGTGATTAAACAAAAAGTATATGAAAACATAAACAATTAATTTTTTTAATATATTATCGTTGTGCTTCGATAAGGGGAAAAGATTTCGTGACATACAGTTCGGCCGCTACTGACTAAAGCATTGATGAATACTTCATTTGAGAGCACATCTAGTTTCTTCTGCTCTTCACCCTTCATATAACAGAACCAATAGATTCAATTAATGTTATTACACAAACTACAATAACTAAACTATATGTGATAATAAGTAATATATATGTTACGAAAGAAAGTCGAGAAATTTACCTGAACATTAGTCTCTCCAGCAAGTCCTATAAGCTTAGCCAAACCAGCCTGTAAACCCGCAAAGTCGAAAGTTCATTAGACAAACGGTTTTCGAGCTGATTGTACTATGAGGAGTTATCCCCTGTTTTAATTAGGATAGATTTAATCATATATAAATATATACAGTCTTTCTTGAATGGCCATAAAACTGGGGGCAAGGCATAATTCGATAAATTTTTCTTTTTTGATCCGATTACTCACTTTGACTGAGAAATATAACTTGCATGAATTTGATCAATTGTGACATATTTTCAACTATTATTTCTTCTTTGTGACTGTGTTTGGTGACAGAAGCATTTGATCAAACATATGATGGGCACATGTGTAAGAGAGCATTTAACGATCTCAAATTTCCAAAAACCCAATTCAAAATCACAAAGAAAACATCATCGGAAAACACGAATTAATCCAAAAGGCCAAAAAAAAAAGGATCAAAATGTAATCGGAAAAAAAAAAAAAAAACCGACCTTGTTAACAGCAGAGCAGACGAATTTGCAGCCAAGAACAATATGACTGAGCAAGATGGTGAAATCCCCACGCGATTCCGGGTGCTTCGTCTGCTCATTCAGCACGTGCCTGGTTATTGTCATCAAATCAGTCCGGTGAGCATCCGCCGCGTGATCCATCGCTAAACCAGATACAAAATATACGTACACAAACTCTGTATCTATATATCTCTTTGACCAGCTATATCCTTTTTTTTATGAACCCGAGAAAAAGTTTAGACCATATTTATTTGCGATTATAAATATATATATATATATTAAATCTCGGACCGTAGTTCGAGGAAACGAAATGCTGACACACAAAGTACGTGTGGGTGTGTGTGAATCGGATATAGATGGGGATGAGGCAGCAGTGGATGGAGGGAAAAATTGGGGGGATTTTTTTTTTTTTTTTTTTTTAATTTATCTGTATGTATAATATTATCCCGTGTCGAAGGGGAGGTCTGGCTGACACGTGGCGGCTATGGCGTTAAGGTTTGTTTGGGGAAAAACCGGTGGGTTTAGTTTTGGCCAACTTGTTGTTTCTGCTGTTTTAATGATTCTTTGTTCTTATTCCATCAATAATAGAGATATTTAGTTGATGGATGATTCTTTCTTGTTTGTTCTTTTTTCTTGACGGGATTTGTGCCTCGGCGGTTACTGGGTTTTTTTGTCCGGTTTCCCGGGCGGTTTTCCGGTGCGGTCGGGCCCTGGTAAGCTTTGTTTGTGCGCGTACACACACGCGCGGCTTCTGTTTGGTATGAGTGAAAGTCAAATCTGACATTTTTCGAAATTTTGACTTCAATTCTTTTGGTCAAAAAATAAATTAAATTTCGATTTCAATTCGTTCATATAGTAAATACTAAATAATACATTGATTAGAAAAAAAAAAAAAACAATAATAAGTAAATAAAATAAGCTATTCTAGCTCGATTCGTGTTCATTTGCATTAAATGTTTAATTATCAAGTTTAAATACACCTTTGAAAAAAATTCGATAAAAATTCAAACAAATCATACTAAATACGCGTTTGGCTCATCATACTAGGTTAATTATTAGTTTTAAATACTATTTAACTATCGTTCCAACTGGCCACTCACAACTAATCAAGTTGACTCATCAATATCTGACCCTTTTTTTTTTTTTTTTTTTTTTTTTTTTATGTAGGTATGAATTTTTTGGTTGAAATAGTGTATTATATGAATATAGTGTAGGTCTAGTGTGTTTTTAATTAAATACCCTATCTATGTCATCAAGGAATTATTTACCTTAGAAACGGCTATTGCCGGTTTTTGGCCCGGAATCGGCTTGAAACGGCCTTAAATACAGTTTGTACCCTTAAAGTATAGGGTTGGTAACATTTACCCTCTTAAAGTTACAAATGTAACAATTATCCCCTTATTAATGAATTTAATGGTAAAACTTTGATTTTGAATGATGTGATATTTTCTTCTTCCCAAATTGTCCTTCTTGCTATTATATTGATGCGTATATATTAATATATTTCCAATAATATTTTAAAAACTAAATTTTATAAAATATAATGATTATTAAAAAAATTATTTTGATTTATGGTTAACTCCACATTTTAATTACCATAGACCCTAATATAAATACAAATCTCAATTATTTTAAACATATATAAAATACGTTAAACATTTGCAAGAAAAAAAAATCAAGACTTAAACGTCCAACTTTTTTTATAATAATTATTGATTTGAAACTTTATTTCAGTTACTTAAATTTAAATTTGAATAAAAAAATATTGAAATATTTAGACGTTCAAATTATGATTTCTTATTAACTTATGAATGCATTTTGTGATTCTCAAAGTGAAAAGTGGGATGATTATATAAGAGTCATATACTCATTAAAATAAATGTATAAATTATAAAATCATAATTAAAATTCGAATAATTGTTAACTTTGTATTAGCTACAAATGAACATAAAGTAAAAAAAAAATGAAACTAGAATTCAATTTTTTTTATTCGTAGATTTACAATACTGAAATAATGAAATTAAGTTGCCGAATTTTTTTATTATTACATATTTATTATTTATATAATGGCAAGAAGGACATTTTGGGAAGAGAAATTTCACATCATTCAAAGTCATAGTATTACTATTAAATTCATTAATGAGTGGAGTAAGCATTACATTTGTAACTTTAAGGGGTAAGCGTTACCAACCCTATACTTTAAGGGTGCAAACTGTATTTAGCCCTTTTAATTAAATACCCACTTCTATGTCATCAAGGAATATTCTACCCTAGAAACGGCTATTGCCGGTTTTTGGCACGGAATCGGCCTGAAACGGCCCATTGACAAACCGGACCGGCCCGTTGACCGGTGAACCGTGCCCGGAACCGTGAACCGACGTGTGTCCCATTGGTCGG